TATATATATATATATATATATATATATATATATATATATATATATATGTATATATATATATCTATACTAACATATACTCGCCTCCGGCTCGTGCGTCCACTCCGCACGTCCAATTTCCATCTTACAGCATTTGTCACACAAATAACTATTATATATATATATTCAATTGCGCGAAAAAAATTAAAAGTAAACTATATTATATATATTATATATTATATCATATTCATATATATAAGAATATGAAAAGTAATTAGCACCAAATTACATACCAGAAGTTGTAAATGCACTCTCGCAATATTTGCAATGATGAGGCTTGGTCCCAGTATGAGTGTTGACATGATTCTGAAGTGAAGCCAGAGTTTTAAATCCTCGCTCACAAACACTACATTTATGTGGTCTTTCTTCGGAGTGCGATTTCATATGCCGTGATAAAAGATATCTGTTACATAAATAAATAGTTCATTACTTTCCTAATTTAGCATTTCTATAGATACACAATAATACAAATAAATGAGATCACGATGAAATATGTACAAATATAAATATTATAAAAAAATAATAACGCAAAAAGTAATACCGTTTTGGGCTGGTATAGTTGCAGTAGTTGCACATATGAGCTTGCGTTACAGTTTGAGATTTCTTTGGGATGAACTTAATGATTTTAGTCTTATCATCTTCTGCCTCAGATTCCACTGGAGCCTCATTATCTTCATTATCTTCAAAATCATATACAGTGAGATCTTGTTCACCTTCCGCTTCCTCTCCCTCAGCTGCTGCAGCAGCTGCCGCCACCGTCGTTGCTTCATCTTCCGCAGGTTTAGTCTCTTTATCTTCGGACTCGGGTTGCTGAACTATCAGAACGTAACTAACTTCTCCAGGATTTGTGTCGGATGGAACAATCGTCACAGTTTGATATGCATCGCCAGAATTAATGACAACTTGATTGTTTTCACCGTTGACTTGTACCTAAGATTTGTATACATTTATAGTTGCATTTTTGTGTTTTATAAATTACAGTCGATGACTACGATTATGATTTTAGCCCTACTTACATCCTCGTCACCCTCAGCATTTTCAAGTTCTTCAATCTCGTGATACTGTTCATCTTGAGTTGTCTCGCCTTCGTTTTGTACATCGGTCTCCTCTACTTCTTGTATCTGTACCTGTGTCATCACAGGTGGTTCATCACTGTTTGCCTGGTAATAATATTGACCAGTCTGATCAACAAAGTATGTTCCACCTTCTTCTCCACCAGATAATCCTTCCACTTGTTGTACTGTATAATAAAATATATAAATTGAATATAGTTCAGTATGATATATATAGAAATATCTGATATTTATATTTGATAGAAAAACTATTATAAGAGATATTAACATTGCACATGTTGCAGCTGTTCACCCTGGCCTCCCTCTATCTCTTTGTTAAATGTCTCCAAGTAAGTTTGTATCTCGGTGACAGATTCTTGTCCCTCTTCCAACTTTATAGTCGCCACGTTACTCATGATTGAAGCATGTAGCTCAAACAATGGTAACTATGTTCATTAGTCTGAAACATTATATCAATACATTATTACGATATTCAGACAACTTGAATATATGTATTTGAGCTACTACTACGGATATAATCGCCAATCTATAACACTTCTGCATCAATAACTCTAAAAATAAACATAAAGTACGAACTTCATACACTAATGTAAATACACATTTCTCACAAACTTCTCTTCACACACGTCCTATTCTCCTTTACAAGACAAAACATACAGCGATTAGTCAAAGGGATTTTGAAGTATGAAAAAACAGTTTCCTAATTTAGCCATCAGCTTTTCATTAGCCATCGATCCTGAAAGCTAGCTCAACAAGCCGCGAGTCTACATTATTACGGGGAGGGAACAGGGGAAATACGAGCGAGCCAGGAAAAATAAACCGTTCTGACCGTCACCGAGGGACCGAAAACATCTTTGTGGATCAGGACGCGGGCCGTCGTTCCTCCCGGAGCGTCGTCCGAGGATACGACGGTCGTCGAGCTAAAATCTCGACGGCGGGCATCGCCGCGGATCAAATTAAAGGGAATGAATCGATATAACGCGAGGGGGAAGAGAAGACCCGCGCCGCATGCCGAGGGCACGAGCCGACGAACATCCCGGTTGCCGCGTCGTCCGGCGACGGCGGGGCGCTCGCTTCTCGGCGTCGCTCGGCGCGCGCGACGCGATCAAGGGGACAACGTGCGCCGCGGCGACGGCGGCGACGCGCCGCCATACGACGCGGCTCGCGGCGCTGGAGGACGGACGGCCGACGTACCGACGCCATGAGGGCCGGAGCGGAGGGAAGCGCGAGAGCGCGCCATGACGGGACACAGGCGGACGCCAGCGAGAGAGGCGAGGCCGAGCAGAGGTACTGGGACTGGGACTGGTGAGCCAACGGCGAGGTGGGTGACGCGCAGCGGATACCTGGGGGAAACACCGTATCTCGCGGATACTCTCGTAGCACACGGCGGGGGCCCCACGAGGTCGCGCATTCTGTCGGGGAGCTTTTAAGACAAACGCGGGTGCGCTTTCGATTTCAGGACACAGGGGGCATTAACGACAAAAATTTCAGAAAATTATCACCGTCGGCGCTGTCATCAATATGGTGGACAACCGCGCGACGATGCCGCCCCGTGGCCGTTGCGCCGCGGCGTGCCGCCCAGGTATAAACCGCGGGGAACGACCGGGTACGTCGCCCGGGCCACGTCCGCCCGCTCGAATATCGTGGAGACTCACCGAACGTCGACGTGGATACGACTGTGGACGCCGTGCGGGCCGACGGGTTGATACGAGGCCACAGGAATATAACAACGTAAACCCACGATCGTCGCGTGAGGGCGTTGTGTAAGAGCAAATATGGCAATATGGCCGATCGAACTGCGAAGGTTCAAATGCTGCGCTGTACTGCGCGTCGGCAGCTGCGCACTGGTCGCCGTTGTGTTGCGCGTCACGCGACACGCATCACACGATCGCGTGTTTATACGCCGCCCGCCCGATCGTCGTGTTTCTGACCGTCTTTCCCGGAAGGAACGCGGCATCGAGCCTTCGTAAACGCTCCTGAACACTTCAAACTCGTCAGCTGCGATTTATTCAAATTTTTATCGAGCGGATTTGTATCACCGGACGATACACGCGCGAGAAAATCAATCCACACGTCCAACATGAGGCGGAAGGATGGCCATGTTTCCTTCGCCGCGCTCTCAGCTCTCATCAAACGTGAAATTGTTTGATTCTTTTTTGTACGTCAAATTTTATTTTTTTTTTTTTTAATATTTTTTTTTATATATAAAAAACAGTCTAAGTCTTTATTGCATCCCATCGGAACCGCACGATTTCTACACGCGTTCCATTCCATATGTGCGAGCTGACGTGGCAGCCAATGCAGCCAATCTACTTTCCGCTTTTTCCGGGATGGTAGATGTGTAGTAGGAGGCGATTGGCTATCGCGCCCGCTTATTGTGCGGGATCGATTGGTTGATTTTTCTCTGCGTTCGCGTTGCGCGAGTCTGTCTGGACAGGCCTTAAAAGCCCATTTAACATATAAAAAACTCGCGCGAAACTTTAGAACACTATCAATTTGTACATACGCTTAGCCGCACATTCTTTTGAAACTACTCGTATTTCTGCCGCTAATTTGTTGGCGCCTCAGCAGATTATGATTCGTGCACGTGTAGTTTACAACCGTTCTTTCGCTCGCCCAACGATTATACGCTTTAGCGGAAATTACAATGATATTTGGCTCTAAAGAAGTACAAAAGTGCGTAAGAATTATGTATTTTAATATGTACCGCGATTATGACAAATAAACTTATTTATTGAAGTTCTTGTATCTTTTGTCTCATTTATAATTTCTATTAATTTTATACCTATATATATTATATTTATTATGTATGTTCTTTTTGTTTGATTCACAGGTAAAAAAGTTCTTTAGTGAAAATTTATCAATATATGCCTAAAGTTAAAACTAAGAAGATGTATATGATACAGAGAATAATATACATATACCTACATAAGATATATCTCGTTTATATTTAAAAAATTTTTTTACCAAGCAATATTGCAGGAAAAAATAGATATAATTACAGTTTAAATCTTTGTTTCTTATGTACTTAAAAGATAAGACAATTCAAATCATTACAAATAACAGAATCATTGTTAGTGATATAAGCTGTAATCCATTTGACGCTACAAATGATTTAAAGCGTTTCTCTTCTCCTTCTTCACTGAAAGAAAGGAGAAGAGGAATGCTTCGAAGCATTTGTAATGTTAAGTGGACCGCAGCCAAAAGTCTCATTTTGATAGAGTTGTCTTTACCGCGAAAATAAAACCTTTATATCTAATTTTCCTCCTTATTGCTTCAACAATGTAGTACAATGTACAATTCCTTTATTTTGCCATACAACCATACAATCGTTTAATGAAACTTCTAGATCTAGATTGCAAGACACGTATTATAGCAGAGCAAGCACTGTCTCATCCAGTTTTGAATTCGTGAGATACTGGTGCATGTCTCAGATATGCATATGTTTTAAAACATTTGAAAGGAACATGTTTACAATAATTGGTTAAAATTACAGCTTTAGTTTATTACGTTTATTTATTGCTTTCAATATCAGTTAAGATAAGTTTTCAAACTATTAAGTAAATTGTAGAAAATTAAGAACGTCTTTATATTTTATATAGCATAATATATATAATACATAATTTTGAGACTTATTAATATAATGCACGTTGAAATTAGGAAAGTAATGAAAAATTATTATCTCTTGACATATTGGCATCTTTTATGGCATCTCGCATGATTTGTTATTCAAATACATTTATTATTCGTTGTTTTTCGGATATTTGATATTTAATTTTTATAAAAAAAACTTGTAAATGTGTTCATGGTTGTTAAATAGACGACTTTCGTTATATAGCACAACTATGTACAATATTATCTCTAAATATATAATATTGTATTTAAATAATACTCTTCTCATACAAATAGATGCGCAATAATGATTTTCCCTCCTAATTATATATGATTTCACGATGCTAAATATATGTATAGCTAATTCAATAAAATATTTTATACAGTATCTTTGTGTATTACTTCATACAACATATTAATATTCCGGCTCAGCAAATTTGGACAACAAATAAGCTGTATGTATCCTGTGCACGGCAATCATATTTAAAAATACATAAACACAAATATAATTACATGATTGCCCGAATACGTTTGAAACGACAAAATTGCAATTTAATCGTAACATTTATTTTATTATTTAAGGCACTTGATATGAAATATGAGGAAGATATGTGACATGTAGATCTCAATGCTCACACATGATTTTTAATCGACGTGTTCTGTGTTACCAATACTTTGTGACGGTTTGTTTTCTTCGACGTGTTCTGTACCAGTACTTTGTGACGGTTCGTTTTCTTCGACATGTTCTGTATTACCAGTACTTTGTGACGGTTCGTTTTCTTCAACGTTTTTCTTGATTAGTTTCCATTCCGTAGCAGCCTCTAAAGCACTGGATGCCAATTCCTTGATCTCCTTCTTTTGCGTATCGTTTTTGCTCAATGCCATCAGTAGTTCCATTATGTCCGTTTCGATGAGTTTTGCAGCAACGTCTTTCGTGCTTCTCATCATATTTAGCACAATTACGATACCCCGGTGTTGTATGTCAACGTTTGGATTAGCGAGTAAAAAGCGCAAGGATTCCAACCAATCTTTTGAGTCGAAGACTTTCTCGCAAGCCTTTTTGCTAGCCGACGCCAACATCGCTAATGCTCCAGCCGCTGCTATGCTAGTTTCTTCATCCTCGTCCTCGCACAATATCACAAGATACTTAACTCGATCGTTTTCCTGCTCGAATAATTGGATCACTTCATCGCACAGCATCAAATTGTTTACAACTTGTGTGGCCGCGCGTCTCAACATGTCGTGCTCCTCGTACATGTAGGCCTCGATCTTCTGAAATCCTCCCTCCTTCAATATACGTTTTCGCACGCTGTCGTTGACACCAGCTAGATTGCACAGAGCCATTAGACTCTCGAAATTCTCGAGAGCGGAACACTCCGGGTTTAGAAGATTTACGAACGGTCGAACAACCTCCATGATTCTCTGCCCGGGAAACGCGACCTCCGGATTTATCGTGATTCCCAGACGAGCCAGAGCTTGCGAGGCTTGCTTCTTTCCCTTGTCCGTGCCATCCAGCGCTAACGGCAACAGTGCCTTCGTGCCGCCCTGTTGAACAACTATTCCTCTCACCTCCTGTTGACTGCATATCGCGTTGAAAACGCGGGCTATCAATTCCTTGCTATTCTGGCTGTCCGTTTTGGCGAGGCTCACCAGAGCGCTGGTCACACCGGCCTTCGCTAACGCGCACAGTCTCTTACTCACGAAGTCAACATCGTCCAGTTCGTGTTCTTCGGGAATATGATGTTTAGCGAACTTTGCCAATTCTATCATCTCGGGTATGAGTTCTTGCTTGTCGTAAGCATTGCACAGGTTCACCAACGTTGTGACCACGCCGTAGAGAACGGACTGATCGCCAGTCTTGGCGAGCTCGATCATCGCTTGAACGGCTTGCTGGTCTTCGATCAGCTTCTCTTTGACCTCGGCGTCAAAAGTGAGGTACGACAGACCTTCTACGGCCCATTTTCTCATATCTTTGTCCTTCTTGGGATTTATTAAGAATCGTCTGCAAGCCTCGGCCAACTTCTTCGTCGCTCCATCCGCGAACGGTCTGATAGTCGCGTCTGTGCCTCCAGAACTGCCCAACTTGCATAAACCGACTAATGCTCGAACCCGAATTGAATCATCCTTAGATTGATATAGCTTCTTCAATATATTTACACCTTGATTTATGATTGCGGTAGCCTTGTCTTTTTTAGTCGCAGCGGCAACGATACATTCGCAAGCTACTTTCTGCTGCAATACGTCATCTGTTCCCGCCATAACAAGGATCATCTCTAAAATCCCTTCTTTAGCCACAACTGCGTTTCCAACGTCTAACGGGCCCAATAACAAGGTCGTTATTGCAACTACTACACGTACCTGTAAAACATTCGATTAACGATTTATGAATTTTTATGTTTCGTGAAATAATAATTAATTTTAAAAGAGATCAAGACAGCTACAGTTTTATTTAACTTTGATTGAAAACAGAAGAAATTTCTGATAAATTAAACTTCAGAAAATACTATAGATGACAAAATCGTATTCTTCAAAAAAATTCGATTAAACTTTGTTATAATTGTATTTTAATTTAAAATTTACAGAATATACAATATCGACAATTGGAAAAGAAATCTTGTTTGACATTTTTGCTTTAAAAAGTAGAGTTTAAATTACTCAAAGAGGCTATAGTTAAACAGATGTTAGGCCTTTTATTTTTAAACCATTTAAATAATCAGAAAAGACAGAAGTTGCAAAATTCATACCTTGGATTCTATGTCAGGCGAAAGCAATTTATCTTTGATAAATTCATCAATGGCGTTGCTGAATTTTTCCTTAGCAGCATCATAATACATGTTTTCATATATTTTTGCTAAGCACACACTGGTTATAGTTCGTGTGGAAGACGTGATGTCCATCGAAGATTCGTATTTGTATTCCTCCATTTCACTGGCCACCTCCATCAATCTTTGCAAACCGCGAAGCTCGACCAATCGTTCGGCCCAGTCTAACGCAGTATAATGAATGTTACGCATAATAAGTTCTATTATCGCATCTCTAGCAAGGCCTGTTATCGTTCTATTCGTGACACTGTACAACAAGCACGACAGAATCGTGTCCATTTCCTTCTTATGTGTCTCACACAAATCCTTGTCGGGTTTTGAATCAGGCTTATTAGTCATGCCGCTATAAGCGTTCAATATAGTCTGAAACAAAAATAAATAATTAAAATTATTGAAATAACGTGTGATGGTCACTATATGTATTTCACTCGATAATATTTACCTGTATACAATATTGAGACGCGTTGACTCTCTCTTTAGACCTGCTATTCATCATTTCCAAACACCAAGGCAAACCGACGTCTTTTATAATGGACTTGGTTCGACTAATATTGTTCTTGCACAACTCGCTTATGATACGAATCGCGCTACAGATCATTTCATCGCTCTTTTCAACTTTTACAAATTGGGCGATTTTGGATACACCTCCCTTTTTGAAAATCTCCTCGGCACCAGCTCTCTCACGTGAGAGCACAAGCAGATTATTCATGGCAGTTTCACGTTTCTCCTTATCTGCGTTCATGTTAAATGCTAGATCCAGCATTTGTGATACCTAATACAAAACAAAATTAACCGTATATTTAAATATAATAATCTGTAATATATAAATTAATTTTAAGAGATTATATTTGATAAGATCATGCTTTTACGATGTAATTTTTATCCATATAACATGTGTCATATCGTAACTATTAATCAACAATAATTATAATTATATTTAAAAAAACTTCAATCAATTTGTCAAATTATATGTGATATTGAGTGAAACAAAAACTTTTACTAATATATCCAGCATAAAAAGTATTACAATTTTTATATTATCTGATATAAAATTTTGCAAATTGATAACTTTTATAATATTATGTATATTTACCTTGGCACTAATACGTGAATTTTCCTTATGACGTTCTTGTACAATTTCATGTAAGCGCGCTGCTATGGGCTGAACAACTTTGTTGTTGGGGTCAGATAAAATAATATTCCTCGCGTCTCGATATGCCTCCTCGAATCTCTCTAACGCTTCTAGCGCTTGACATCTGCGAAACAATGCCTTGGGATCGTTAGAACATATCTTCAATGCACTGTCGCAGTCACTAATCACTTTTTCGTAATCGCGCAGCTTTAAACAAGCGGCTGCTCGATTTTTGTAGTACACTGCTTTCTCAGCGTTGTCCTCTTTTACTAGTTTCAATGCGTTCGTGTAGTGACTCAAGGCTTCTGACCAATTGCCTTTGTTAAACTCTTCGTTACCCTTCTCTTTCCATTCTTGTGCAGTCATATCTGGCTTCGTCATGGTGGAATAAGTCTACGACACAAAATATATACTGTATTATATATTTTAACATAGGAAGATTCTCTGTAATATTTTATTTAAACATTGGCTGCGTTCGGGGAGCGCAGCTATATTAGTGCCATTGCATTATTCTATCTTTATCACTCATCAGGTGTAAAACAAGGATAGAATAAGCTAATAGCACATACCCCGAATCCAGCCATTATCTTAAATGCATAGAAGATAGCAATTATTACTAGAGCATAGAAGATGCAATTATTATTAATTATATGCAAGATTGAGACACTAATAAATAAAAAATAAATGCATAGTTCAATAATAACAATGCAATTTTCAGTGTAAAATCTGCATGTAAATTATAATCGATTGTTGCAATAATTTTTACATTAAAAAGCTGACTTTCTTTAATTATTGAAAAACAACATAAGTCAATTTTAATTTAAATGCCTTACCTTTCGTCTGGTGACAATTTATAATTGACCAACTTAGTTTTAAAACCAGTTTTCGAGACAGAGAGCAATTAAATCTTCTCTCAAGTTTTGCCACTGCAATTAAAAATTGTAGTTTGCGGTTCAACTCATTCAGCGTTCACTCTCATAATGATCCAGGAGCCGCTCGCGCATCGTATTATAGACGACGTGGATCCAGACGCAACGTTCGCGAAGGTTTATTTTCGGCGAACCATCTTCGACATAAATAAGAGCATTTGGGTTAAATATAGACACGATAATGCTTCCGGCCCGCTGGCTGTAATTCAATTATCGTCGATCGCGAAAGTTCGAGTTTCGACGATGATCTATGCTATATGCAAGTATTTTATTTTGTTCTAACGCGAGAAATGCGATTATGCATGCTCTTCGCTGCGAGCAGCGAGTCGAAAGGGGTAATTTACACTCCTCCCTTTCTCGCGTCGGGAATTAAATTCCCCGATGAAAGCGTACCTGGGAAAGACGTGCGATTTGTCTGAGACACGCGAGAAATTTATTTACACGAGAAAGAACCTCGTTCCATCGATATTTCCAGGCGGAGAGGTTAAAATTCCTACGTTTGAGGTTATAGGATCTTCCGCGAGCAACAACTAAACAACGTGAATTTCGCGCCGCGTTTGGCGACTTCTGCCGACGTTTCGAGAGTCGTGCGACGGTTCGAGATTGCGATTCTCGAAAGTACCAGCGGTCGCGCCGGCCGGTGAGTTGTCGGATGTCATCAGGCGTTTTCTTGGTGGAAAGTGGAAACCTCACGGTTTTTCTGACGACAAACGTTGCACGCTATCATTATTATATGCCGAAAAAGGCGATCAAAATTGTCCCTATTCGCTCCAACCAGCCCTTTCGTGTCCCGACGAGTTTCTAATCCTCGCATCATAACTCACGAACGAATTGACGAAATTTAATGTTCCAAATCGCAAATTGAAGCTAAAAGTAGTAGCTTTAATTTGCGCTTTGGAACATTAAATTTCGTCAATTCGTTCGTGAGTTATGATGCGAAAATTAAAAAGGCGGAAAAAGGGATTGGAGCGAATAGGGTTGTTTATGCCGAATACAAATTATAAGGAGAAATAAAATGGTGAACATTTTTGCGAGTGAGCGATCAGTGAACTTAATTTTCCATACAATTATAATTTATATATTTTCAAAACAATTTAAACATCAACCGCGCACAAGCCATATTAAAACAATGATTATACAACAGTATATATTGAGGAAAAAATCATTATAAGGACTCGAGCAACAAAGACTTATTTAGATACGTAAAAGGGGTCACATTTCGACGAGATAAATTACAGTATAAAAATTAATTTTTTAGTTACATAAAGAGGGAAAACATTATTATCACATCGTAAAAATACATTTGTTCTGGAATCTATTGTGATATTATGATTTATTATAAAATTAGGGTGCTAAATGTTATTTGTCGCTGCTGTTTCTTCATATATGTTTTCATGAGATCCTTCGTGTATCCCTTACAATAAAAATGAAAATAACAATATAAATAACGGACAATAATGGCAACACTTAGCATTTAACACTTAAGTAATGTGACTTTGAAAATAGATAATAATTAAATATAAGATTCTCATTATTTTTCTTCGCAACCGACAGCAGAATAAATGAATTAAACGAATTAATATCATAGATATAAAATCTATTACACGGGGGAGGGGGGCAATCTTTCTTTTACGCCTCTGTTAAGAGGTGATTGTCCGTTTGACAAGCGAACGGAAAATTTCCGTAGAATTTTTCTTTCTTTAATTTATGCGCCAGCTAATTACTGTCGCCCGACTTACTTGATCCGCACGAATACGTTGATATGCTGTTTCTCCTTCGACATCCTCGAGCCGAGATTTTCTATTTTTTTATAAATTATTTTCGCACGATAATTCTTTTAACGCGATTCCTCTGCTTTCGTGATTCCTCTAATAATATCCAGGCAAAGTCAAAACAATCATTGAAACGACATTCGCGGCGAACCGGTATTTATATTTATTAAATGTCGAACGGACTGAGTTTCTCGCCCATGCGCAATAGCAACAATTTTATATGGTAAATCAGGTAAATAATAAAAAGAATTTTAGTTGTTATTATTAATATTATCTGGATTCCCCCTTTGTGTGGAAAAATATCTTAGAATTTTTTATATTATTAATGAGAATTTCTCTGAAAATTTTAAGACTTTCTCAGATTTTTTTATACAAATTGTACCAGCGGCCGGTGAGTTGTCGGAAAATTTTTCGTCAGGCGTTTTCTTGGTGGAAAGTGGAAACCTCACGGTTTTTCTGACGACAAACGTTGCATGTTATCATTATTATATGCCGAAAAAAGCGATCAAAATTGTTTATGCCGAATACAAATTATAAGGAGAAATAAAATGGTGAACATTTTTGCGGGTGAGCGATCAGTGAACTTTTCCACACAATTATAATTTATAATTTTCAAAACAATTTAATCACCAACCGCGCACAAGCCATATTAAAGCAATGATTAAATACAACAGTATTGAGGAAAGAATCATTAAGAATATGTACAAAAATCGGCGCATATATATATAGATGCTAATCCACATTCGAGTTTAATACAATCAGAATATTTGGTAGAGTACGTATAAAAATAGCAGTTTTAATGTAGTTTTACAATATACTGTACTTCTTCATGCCCTGTATTACAAAACACCACATGGTAACTTATTAGACGATAATTACATATGTATATGTATACAAAAAAATTACATAACAGGATATCAAATTAATTAATTTGGAGAAATACACGAATAAACATTTATAGATCTTTCTTGGAAGAACATAAACCGTATAAAAACATTAACATGTTAAATATTGTGTAATAGACGATATTTTTTATCTTCGCATGATCGTAGATTTTTAGTTTAGATAAAGATCTTTTACGTTTCTAACGTATCAAAGTTGTTATTATTACAAATACGTATTTTAAAACGTATTATCAGTTTCGTGAGGAATCCGGCAGGATTTTTGCTGGTCCACCAGATTTTTTATATCTACTTGTAAAACATAGCCCACGAATATTCCCATTAAGATTGTCAGTATTATGGAAATTAAAAGCATATATTTTACAGTAACGATTTCACTGTATATGTTGTTGTTATGTTTTTCTAAATGATTTATCTGAAATTATCACACGATGCGTCAGTACTGAAATGTTTATATTAATACGTACTTAAATATCGCAATATTAGCTTGCATACCTTAGAGGAAAATGCATCAATACGATCGTTTCCTATCGCCGCAGAAGCTAGCGCGGAATGAGATTTTTGCGTCTCGCTATTTTCAATGGCACCATCGCAACATCGCAGTCTGTGCATCTCAGTTGCTTTTTCAGACTACAAGAAGACAGCATTAGCATATAAAAGATCTTACTTTGTGAATATTTTACATCTGAAGTTGTTGATGTATTTCATTAATAATCCCGGCATAATGACAGATATAATGGGTCTGTTTTTTATTGCTGAATTGGCTCAATTAGTTCAGAGTTTATCTTCTTTATTCCACATTGGAAAGAAAAAGACAAACTCTGAACTAATGCAGCCAGTTCAGCAATATAAAACAGACCCATTGAATCGGTCTGTTTAGAATTAATTTACCTTCCAGAGTACACTCAGTTCTTGCGTTGTGGCATTTGTATTTTTTAATGGGAGGCACATGACTAGAAATCGATCGTTGTATAATAGACCGCGTACATTGTAGCCAGGTTGCAGCACAACCATAACATTTCTTTGTTCAGACGGCTGCAGAACTCCTGAGCTAGGTCGTACTCTAAATTTCTCAGGCGATGTTGTCTTTATCTACAATGACCATACATATCTTATTCTATCATTTCTTATAAATTTATTCCAATTATTATTGTTATAATAGTCAAATAACGTGATGTCCATGTACCTTATAAGATAAAGACTTGTCGGGTGTAATATTCTTAAGTGTAATTGTTCCAGTGATATCATTTCCATCTTTATTAAACGTAATTACTTCTGTGGGTTCTATGGATAACACTGGAACAAACATAATTTATTTTATACTGCACATATTTCTACTTTGTACATATTCTAACGTGACGTAATAAGTTCGCACGTAAAATAAATTTTATACATACATTGTTCTTCATTAATCTGGTCTCCGATACTAGTTGGACTTTGCTCCGTGAGTGGCGAATTGTCTACAAAGTGCACCTAGAAAACATATAACATATGTTTAAAGAAGGAATCAGATTATTAGACAAATGTTTTGACAATTATGAATAACTTGATATACATCTATGTATTCCATGTTACTTAGTACTTTCTTTCTTAGGGTACTAATTTGAAGTATGAAAATGATATGAAAAACAAATCAATGCGGTTAACAAAAGAATAATAACAGAAAAAGAAATGTAGATGACAAAAAAGCATAGTGAATTTGATCTGTCATTAGTAAAAGCAATATTTTGGTAGTATTTCACACGTCATATAGTTTATAGCAATTACATAAAAAGAGATATGTAATATGTGTACCTTTTTATTATTATCCAGTTTACCATTCAATACGCCATCCCCATTTGTTTGCTCCTCCGAGACGAATTTGAAGGTGTAATCGTTGTTACCTCCCCAACATTTCAACGCGTCGTTTGGATTGACGTAATCCTTCAATGTGGATTTGTTAACAAACTTAATTTTCGGAACAGCTTTAGCAGGTAACCACGATTTTATTATTTTAAAAGCTGCATTTAAAACCCAGGGCATCTCGAAAATTATGATGTAATTTAGAAAATGTGGGTAATAAGATTTGAATAAACCAATGAGGTACTTAGTAAGCTCCATATCCGTATTGGAAAGTCCAGTTTCTGCCATATCAAAGAAAATTGATATCTGATTTCCATTTCCTTCTCTGAAAATATAACGAATAAAAGATATATATTAACAGAATATGAACGGGTTACAAATATATAAATGATATTTATAATTGCCTTTGCCTAAAGATAAGGAAATTAATAAGTGCGCTAATACCTTTCTAATCTCTCAAACCAATAAACTATACATCTCTGGAGCTCCGGAAAATCTTTCACTCCTTTAACGTGCAACTTTGACTTAATTATAAAAAGTTTTTTGCCATCTTTGTCTTTACTAAAGCCAAAGATTGAACCATCTTCTAAATAATCTCTCCTCACATTATCCTCTGTGATATCTGTAATCCGATTTATAATGAAAGAAGAGAAAGAGAGAAACATTTTGTTATTCTATTAATATTAATCCTTTCAGTGCCAAATACTTTTGATGAATGGATCATGTGTATATAAAATGCTCTATTATCTGTAGCATGATTCAGAGCTAAATATTTTCGTTTAAGACGCTAAATATTTTCGCTTAAAACCAGGTGCGTAAACTTGCCCATAGCATTCACAACGTGCTGGACATGTTTACACATTTACATGTAGCACTAAAAGGATTGAATTACAGTTTATTCAAAATTAAGACATATATAAACTTTAAAACAAATATGACTTTTATTTTACCAAGATACCTCACAGACAGTAATAAAAACTGAGAATTATGTGAAGCAAGATTCGCAGCAATAGTTTTACCATTTGTTCCGAACTTTCTTCTCCAAGTACAAGTTTCCCAAAGCATGTTAAACGCTTCCTGCTCATTGAACTCATGATGTTCCAAAAATCGTTTCAGCCAATCGTCGCTGTTCTTTATCCTGGCTATATCGGCTGGGTGGAAACCTCCTGCGAACAATTATTAACCAGATTCAGACATATAGGTAAGATCCAGGTGAAAAAAACTGCTCTTTTCTTCCTGCCATATAATTCGTGATTCTGTAAGTAATTAACGTAGGCAAACGTCTCTCTCCAATTATTTATGCTTTTGTCGTGTCAATTAGAGCGTCAATTGTTTTCAATTGAGTACGCGATCGAATGGATACGACCTTTGCACATGTGTTACATCATTATACGGCACATATATTAATGCACGATATTAATTCACGTTATAGCGACGAAAAACGCTGCTAATCGCCGAGAGAAAAGGGGGAAGAAACTCATACATACTGGAGTCGGGTGGTCCCTCGTCGTCCAGCTTTTTGAAGAACTTCTCGCGAAGATCCGCGATCATTTTCGCGTGCGTTTCCATCTTGCTTTGGAAGGCTAACGGCCGGGCGGATGACACTTTGACCGGCGTCGAGAACCTATTGCACGATAACCAGATGATAAATTGTTTATTCGCACGCCTGCTGGTCTCACTGTGCGTGCTCAGCGTCGTTCTGCGCTGCGCGTGCTGAACAAAATTCCCTTCTACGTACGCACAAGTCTGTGCCCACACTCCAACCTCCGACGGTGCACTGTGCAGCTCAAAGCTCAACACAATCAACGCGTCCCGCCTCCCGTCCCGCCTTGAAAGTGAAATAAGGAAACACGTTCGAGCCTCGAGGACAGAAGGAGAGGAACGACAGAGCATGTGTACAATTGAATCGAGCGGATTCTTCGCTATCTAATCGGGAACTATTAAAAGAATTTGCAGGCGCCGCTGAATTGACGGTATTCCATTTCAAATTTATCATGTTTAACGCGAGCTGCGATAATCGCCGCGGGTGTTGCTCTCGCGAACGTCCCGCTACGAGACAGCAACGAATTTTTTATGTTATATCGTTTGCATATACGCCTGCGATGAAGAATTCTCTCAAGTGAATTCCGTATCATAGTCCCGAGCATTCTTCGTGCCTGAATCAGCTGTGAAAACAGCCATCTTGTTATCAGCTGTCGTCAGCGTTATCGCGATTATCACGGATTATCATCGCGGAAGTGTCCGTCGCGTGCGACTTTGGTATGACAGTCCCTGATGATTTTGATAATTTTTACGAAATGGTAGCTCGGTGCTACGTGATGTTTTCATTGTAAAAGGCTAAATACATCAGGCGTGTCGCGTTCGCCAAAACGTAATCTGTATGCGTGCAATCACGGGTATCCCGTAATATTTATGTAATATTTTCACTTGTTTCTTTCAGAGAGTTTGAGACAATAACAGGTCGCGACAGGTGAACATGGATGATGAAACGTTGAATAGGTAATACGATTTCACTGCGCACTGTTACTACATTTACGTAATGTTTCACGATGTAGTAATGTAGTACGAGATGTTTCTGTCTGGAGAATGACAGTTGGTTTTAATTTTTATTTGAAATTAAATAAAATTAGACACATGATTTTACCTCTGAATATTTTACATTGTAAAAAGTAATACAAATTTATTTCACTTGGACAACAATGGAATATTCTGAATATTTGCATGAATATTGCTAGATTTTTATTAATTTTTCTTATTTAAAGAATCAGATTCTTGAAATATTAACAAGCCACTTAACTATGGTTGTATATCGCTCGTGTTACTAGTGTTCTACGTATCAATATAATGAGCAAAGATTTATAGGTATTTTATAAAAAGAAGAACACGCAAAAAATAAAGATTTATCTCACTTAATATAACTTCATTTTTGTAGTTGTGCAATAGCACTGTTGCTACGAAATATAAATATATATTCTTTTAGGCTGGCAGCCGAAGCTTTACTGGAAGAAGCCAAGCTTGGTGCACGAAGGGCTGAAATAATGGGTCCCAGTGGATGGGTGAAACCTAAAGAAACCGTCAACAAAAGATTCCTCCATTCAACATTACGAAATGCAGTAATATCGAACAAGCATCGATCAGTGAAGCAAGAAAAAGTGAAAGTTCCATCACGTAAAGCGGACACTGTTAAAAAATCGTAATGTACACATAGTATCGTTCTCGTGTATTTGTATTAATATATATATTTCTGGTGTGTATTTTTTAGAATTTCTCATTTCTTGTTAAGAGAGAAGGGAAAAGATGTGTAAACGTATTTAAATGTAATTGTTACTAAAGTAAACGACCGTAGTTGTTTTTATTTATTCTATATTACAGTACATTCATGTTATGATCAAATATTACATATTTTTGTATGGAATAAAAAAGAATTCTATATAAATATTCCAATAAACGGTATAAAATGAATTATTGATCAATTGTCAATATTGTACAAAAATATTTCGAATGCTTTGCAAATATCTGATAGTGTTTCTTTTCCTGCCAATATTTAAATATTTTACATATTTTGTTCTTGATTGGTAAGCATATTTTAGATCTTTCAGTCTACCTTCCGCAATGTAGTTGTAATTTTCATAGAAATTCTATGTACAATGGTGTCAGAGTTGCTTTACAGAGCTAACAGACGAAATTCTATTGTACAATTTCACATCTAATGTTTACAATCATTATCAGAATTTTCATTCAATGTACAAAGATGAAATTAAGTGTACAAAAATGTTATGTATATTCCTATCTTATCATCTTGCATTTCATATCTTTCTTGCGCTTAAATATCTCAATAATGTTTAATTATAACACCACCAAATATAATAACAAGGCTTAAAAAAAGCACCAATATCTTTAAATATACCTTTAACAAATATGTGATAGGAGAATGTAATCGCTTCCGTTCTAAGTTATAAAATCGCTTACAGTTAGTCATTACTTATAGTTAAAATATTTTGCATTGATAAGTTGCACATATTAATATATGGCATCGCTTAAACGTTTGCTTAAAAAAGAAAGAGTAATCACATATTCGTAGTTTTACATCCCTATCTCATCGGGTATTAAATTGATGAGACTGATATAGATTGAGATGTCTCTTCATATTAAGATATAGGCAATACTTGTCTACCACTTGTGCATATTCATGGAGAAAATATAATTTCTCATATGCTTAAATTGCATTGCATACAAATGACTCCTTGATGTTAAATTATGATAGGATATAGTACATATTTATATATATATATATATATATATATATATATATATATATATATATACGCATAATGAAATTATAAAACCATTTCTTGCAGTAGATATGCAATGTAATAATATGTACTCATAGTAAATCTTTCGAAATTCGGTTATCAATATCTAAAAACTTTAACTTTGATAACATATTTCTTTATATCACATGTGTAAAGAATTTCAACAATTTTAATAAGTAATGAAATTTACAATCATTTTTTATGTTCCTGCAGTCATATATTAATGTCAAATATTTTTTTATTTGCAGTATTGTACAGCAAGCAATGGAGATTTGGTACTTGTACTTTTATGCACACTTCTGCTGTGCAATATTGTTATAAATCACGCATAAATTGTCAGTTTATAAACGATTATTTAATAATAAAGATGATATTTATGATAATGATATATATATATAAATATATTATATATATATATATATATATATATATATATATATATATATATATATATATATATTGTATATATGTGACAAACGTGAAATGATTCTATAAAAATCTACTATATGTGCAATGCCTATAACGTATCTTAAATTTTGGGCCCATTATTCTTTCCTATAACCTTTACTAAAATAATTGCCTATGAAAAAACTGCCTTAAGAAAATTATATTAAGCATTAAATTATGTTTACATTGTTAAATCCTTCCATAAGCCAAGAAAAGTTATCTGGAGTTATAAATCCCGCTTCATTGCGCAGTTTATAATTACTTTTGCACGCCGCTACAGGTGAATGAATAAATTACGCAGATCCGTTCTGATGTATTTTCTTTTTCTGTTCTAGCAAGTCTTTCATATCGCCAAGAGCTTTTTCAATTTGTTTTGCAAATCTGGCGGCATCCTAAAAATAACGAAATTATTTTATTATCAGGAGATATAATTATCATTACATTATCTTTTAATATAAATGAACAATTATGGAATATAATAAAGACAATGCAAATATTTAAAGAACAATAAATATAAAAGGATGGTTATAGTAATGAAACTGAAAACATTAATTATTTTACCGTTTTTGACGAAGATCGTTTACTAGAAACATGGAAAAATAAAAGATTTTCTCCCGCAATTATATAAGAAACGCCATAGCCATCATCGGCCACAGGACCAAATCCACCACCAGCTGAAATGCAATTAGGATACTTCTTCAAATCCAATTTCGAAGTTTGGCCGTGTGGAGTTTGCGATGTTGATAATCTCCATGGCTCGCTTAGAACTTCCTATAATAGAAGCATTCATCGCGTTTAATAAGATTACATTTCGATTATTGTATTGCAAAGGATTATAAAACAATTACCTTCAAAAATGGTGAATCTACTTCTAAGTACTTCGATACTACATACAAACAGAACAGGTGCCTATCTATTCCTTTACCACACATAGCATCTTGATAACCTTTTTGATGTCTCGCTACTCCATCCATTAACAATTTGATTTTTTCTGTTACCTATATTAAAAGAGAAATCGCTTAGTGCACGAAGAAGGAAAATCTTTATATCTTTTCATTTATTATTTTATTTTTACCGTTGTTGTTTTATCTTCCATTGCTTTCACCCATTTAGAAGATTCAATGGTGCACGGTCTGACCGTTTCTGTTCTACCTTCTCGGAACAATCTCGTCATGGAAGCTTCATAAGTTAAATTAAATTTGCCAGCATCGCGGTAATACGCCAATTGTAACGCCATTTGTATATAAGCGTCTGGTGATATGGAATGAGCCTTCATCAAACCTTTGCCATACGTATCGTGCACGTAAATACGTAATTCAACATCGTTCAATATACTATGCGCTACCTGTCGAGTTTAAAAAATGAATTGTTATATAAAATATTATTATACTTGCTAAATATAGTATATGCGCTATATTTAGGTGGAACGAGATTAATTATTATTACCTGATAAGATTGTTCAATAGCTTCAATACATTTGCCACTTAAATCCCACTGTAATCGAGTTGGAGCCGGAGGTGTAAATTCCGGAGTACCTGCATTATGTCCGTCTTTATATCTGAGAATAATACACATTTTTTAAATAATAGGAAATTTTAAATTTCAATATTTTACTTCATTGAAAGAGCTAAATTCATGAAGAAAACTACGTTATCATGCTTTATTTGAAAAGTAAAGACTAAATATTACGTTTACTATTATTGTTTATCAATAAATTATTTGAAATAAACTTAAAATCAACAAAGCAAATTGATTTAATTGGCCCTTACTTTCCAAATATTCTTTTCACAATATCATGCAAATCTAAATATATTTTATTGTATGTACTAATTAAACTAATCAACAGTTTCATTCAATCATCTTAGGTAATAACTTTTTATTTAAAAGTCTTAATCATATATTTATAACATGATAACGATTAAACAGATAATTATATTTTGACATATTAAAAAGCAAGCAAGCGAAAATTAATGTAGAAACGCTTATAAAAATATAAAAGAGAGTCAATCATTATATAATAATAATTAAAACGCAATTGATTAAAACGCAAAAGAACTTATACAATTGTTAGGAATGATACAAATGAGTAGTTAGTAATTTGCCCATCAAACCGTGTAAGAACACAACAAAAATTACCCGATTTCATTATCAGCAGCCATAATAAACTCCCATAGAGTTCCGAGCACTGGTGCATCAGCCCTAGTAAGCATATAAGAAAGAAACATTAAAGACAAAATGCGAAAGAGAAACGTGAAAAGCACTCGTCGTCAGTATAAAGTATCCGACAGAGAAAGGTAACCTCCAGGAAACGTAATATTTAGGATTTGGGAGACTGAAACATAAGCATAGTAAGAACCCCATAGAACTTTAAAGATGACTGCTGCTTTAAAGATGAAGAACGCTCGAAGACATTAAAGATTTGCTAAAAAAGATCTTTTAAATAAAAAAAATATATATGTACATATATTTCGCAATCCAAACTATTTCCATATAAGTCCTTGACACACAAGAAATAGACTTAAAATTAATAGACAAGAAATAGACAGTAATATACAACTCTTTCAGAAGCAGAAGAAGAGATAGATATGCAAAATAAATAATATGAGCTATGGATTGTAATTCTTACTGTCGGTCCAGGAACTCCGAACATACTATGTACTCCCATAAGTGTGACATGATTGCAGCATCTGCCCTGCTCATTACTTATCATTATATGCAGTGTTTCAATATATACATAAAGTATGTAAATCAATTTTTTTTATATTGATAAAAATATAGGTCTAATGCTTCGTAATATATTGTGTATAACAAATACGTGCTTTATGTTTGTTTATATTAAAAATATATGCATAATTTTTTTAAATTATTTCTTCATATAAGAAAAAATTTTATAAAAATATCAATGGTTTTATTATTTGTACAAAATTCACATAAAGTGTATACTCACCAAGAATGCTCTGCGTTGAAGCCAATCTGCGAACAGGAATTATTTTTATAAAACATTGAAGCTAATGATAATCAATTCTAATAATTCCATTATAAAGATATACTAATATTACTCACTCTGCCATTGTTTCCAATACATAGCGTAAAAGATTTATCGAACCATCGATCGTATCCTTTTCCATGTAACAGGATCCTACCATAACGATCTAATTTTTCTGGGTGTTTCTAAAGCACGAAATGATTGTAATAATTATATTAGAGTTTGCAAATTAATATTTATATATTGTTCAAAAATGTTTTTATTTTATTAGATAACGTACTGGATCATATTCATAAGGTACATCGTCCAATGCGACCACAAATGCGGCCTTTTCAATAATATCCAAAGAAGCCTTATTTACACCTTTCGTGAAGAAGTCTTTCCTGGCTTGCGCCCAGGCAGTTCTCTCGCCAGCTGTTAAAGCAGCCAATTTCTCCTCTCCCTCCGATGGTGTTGAATCGTCATCCAAAATTTGTTGAATCTGACTATAAAACGATATTATTGTATTACAGGCGTGTAATAAAAATGCATACCAATAAAATAATAATAACTTACAGTTCTATCTCACAGGCTTGAAGAATTCTGTTACGGTAATAAATTAAAACTTTGAAATATCTGCCCTTATGATACACTACAACATGTTTAGCATCTTGATAATGCACGATTTTGTCAACTTCAATTCCTGGAATTCGTGTAGTATTGAACACTCTTTCATATTGCCAAGAACACAATGGTACTATTCCTTGTACTAGAATCTGAAAATGTACATAATTTTTGAAATATAAGTCTTATGTGATTAAACTTGTGTGATACAACATACAATATACTAATATGTACGAAAATCTCTTCATTTCGTGTAAAAATGTAATAATAAACTAACAAAAAAAAAATAACTAACCGGTTCCAATTCCTGGCGTTCGATAAGACGTCTATATTGTAAGCAGGAATATATTACGGCTGCGGCTCGCGCGGCTTGCACGTTCGTTGGATGCGAAAGGATGGCGTCGATTCCATAGAAATTCGAGTTGACCATTAGAGGCGATCTTCCGCGCAAATAAACGTACTCCTCCCACCAATCGGATACATAGTTGGTGGTCCACCAAGATTTAAGAACCAGGTAACGCTGCAGCTTGACTCCGATGCCGTTCTGGAACTCGTTGGCCAGCCTTTCCATGCGAGCGTAATTCTCGTCGTCGAGCAACGGCCGTACGCTCCTCAGATACTATTTAAATGTACAATACTTTGATTTTTCCACTACAATGTTAAAGAGAAATGGGCCTAGAGTCCTAAAGTTGTGGACTAAAGCTAAGAGCTAGATTAAAACATTCACTGGACTAACGATAATATCGAATTCAATTTAAGCGTACGAGAAATGACATACTCATTCATGTCTAACATAAGATCATAAAATACGTTGATCTAACCCGTTTCATAGTATCAGGTACTGTCGGTAGCGGCAATCGTGGCAGTGATCCTTGGAAGCTGTACAGCATGGGCTTATGCCAACCTGAGAACAGTTTCACCAGCAAGAGCCAGACTTGGGTGAACTTCGATGGCCTGCGACCTTTGCCTCTTGCTTCATACATCCATCCTTTGTACATGAGTAACAGCTTCAGCGTATACCGAATCGCGTATATGACCGCCAACCATAAAAACAGTCCGACCACGAAGGAACCTGCTAGGTGCGCGAGTATCGACGATCTGTCGAAAGAAATAACAATTATTAATTATTGCTAATCCGTGCAATGAATCGTAAATAATTTGTAATTGAAACGTAAAATTATATAGACTTACCCAGAAAGATACGGTGAAACTTTCCCGACGAGGTCATACGGAACCTTGTAACCAGCAAAGTGTATCGCCGTTACTAAAATCACAGTGACCCATAGGCTCTCCAAAGAAGCCGGATAAACTCCACTTTTAAGATTGTTCTGTGAACAGAACGAATGGTAAGATATACGTTAATAATATTCATTATTTTATATTCGTATTCGATATTTGTCCTGGTATAAAAGACGTTCAAATTGGTGCTCGTCAGAACACCGCGACTCACCTGAAATCGGAATAATCTCTTCTTCCACGACCGTATACCAGAAAGCCAGACCAAATGGAGCACCTCTCGATCGAAGTTTACGTCCCATCCTTCGTGTGTTATCGAGAAGCTGAATGCTACGGCCGAATGGGCTTCCGCCATCCTGCGTTAGTCTTCCTGTAAAATTCGTACGTTGAAATTTATATAAGAATTAATATTCTTCACGACTTATAGCTTACGCTCGCATTGCCATTAAAATGATAAAGTACGAAGTAAAATAAATTAACGCTGGGCCTTTTAATTCACTATAAATCGACACGTTTAATCGTATTAATACGTTCAACCGTGTTAAATGACTGCATCTAAAACAGCAAGAAATGTGTAAGAAGAGCATCAGCTAAAATAACACATTTGGATTTGCAGTGAAGGCACAGTCGATTTTTCGTATTTTACAGTTTTCAACACTTAAAAAAAATTGCAACAGTTCCGGCCTATCTATAGAAATCACTTTGTGAAAGATAATACATGAATTTTTATAGATTTTTTGTAACACAGAAACACGCTTTCAAAAACCCTTTGGACTTAAAATTAGTCCCAAGGTGTCTGGATGAGTACTCTAAAAACACGGTGTCCGCGCAGTGTGTTAAATAAAATATGGTGTTCTGAATGATGGAAAAAAAACAGCATCGAGAGCACATCAAGGTCCAGAACACAAGGATATCAGGATATCCGTATACCAGTCCAGAATGCTAATATATAAAAGTTAAAGTTTAATGAAGAAAAAAAAACTAGTTTTTACTGGATAATGAGGCAAAATATCACAGTTCTTTCAAGAAAGAGATACGTCGGATAAACGACAGAGAAAAAGCAATCTCGTCGTGACGAGTTGCGCGATCGTTGCGGTGCATGACAACGATGCAGAGTGAACGCAGATGCACCAGTTGACCTTACTTAAAAGCTGCAATTGCGGTGCGCACGAGTGCGTGCGTGAACGCGTTGTAGAACGTCGCCAAGCTGGTAAATACAGGCCATCGTGTGGTAACGAGTTCGGTGTACTCTTGCAAATCGCCGTCCACCGTGGACTTACTTTATAAAGGTCAAGCACATATTCGACTTTTCAAAGGAATACCTAATAGCGACTGTATTTATCCTCGGTCTAAAACTTCGCACACAACTTTTGTTCATTCCCCCTCCCACCGTTCTCCATTCTTTTTACAGAAACTATAAATTCCATTCGCAATATTCTTAACCTTTAGAGCGCCGGCATTTGATGAGCTTTAATCCTCTTAGAAAGTCCTCAAATTGTTGTGCTTATATCTTATATATAACATATACAAAGTTCCGATCATACGTAGAGCCTATATTTAGGCTTTCCGGCGGTCTAAAGGTTAAAGGCCCGGAAACATAGAAAAACTTAAGCAGTAAGACGTAAGCAGTAAGGAAATCAACGGTATGGATTCGGTACTGCTTACGTTTTGTCTTAAGTTCTTGACTGTGATTGACTGATTTGTTTACTGCTAACGTCTTACTGCTTAAGTTTTTCTATGTGCCCGGGCCTTAAGTCCCTAATGCTCCTGTTTTGTCGCAACGTCGAGTTACGACATCGGAATCTTTTTCGTGCAACATACATCAAAATGTTTGTTGACATTGATGTGAAAATTGACTTTTTCACATATCACCGCACACGTTTTTGAGAATATAAATTGATAAAATATATCAAAAACACTCGTATATTAAGAAGCTGTAAGTTTTATTATTACTGTAAATCTTAATTAAAATCGTCGTGAGATCTACCTCCATTCATCAATACAGAATTATAAGAAAGTCAATTTTCAGTATAATTTATTAAATGCAAGTAATAAAAAAAAATAATTTATATATTGTAAGCAAAAAATTTTCATATTCTCGATTTTGACATCAATTCAATGCGAGTTGTAGAAAATAGGAGCCTTAAAATAAAACAAAAAAATCTATTAGAATTCAGAATGCTAAGTCAAAATATTAATCATACGAAAAATAAGCATTATTAACTAAGATTTATTAGTATGTGAAAAAATAAGTTTTTATAATAAAAATCCCGCATATTTAACACGATAAACTTAGAACCGTCATCTATCACATATGTAATTAATAAGCAATATACCCTGTAAAATATTAATATCTATGAGCTTCTGCTATAATTAATAATACATTTATATCAAACCTTTAATTTGTAGATTAAAATACGGTGCTACTACACATCGTACAAAATCGCGACTGCTTCAGGTGTATTTTTTTTTTAATATAAAATATATAAAAGCCTCTCACTTTTTTCTATCTCGTGCGTCAAATTATTGCTTTATTATTGCTTTATAGGATTAATTTCCGTCATCGAGCAATAATAGCATATTACGCGAGTTGGCAGTCATTGCGAAGTGAAAGTCCTGCGCAAAAAATTCATTTTAAAAAATAATAAATATATATATTCTAGATCACGGAACATGAGCGTAATGCGAAGCGTTCGGAACCGATTAAAGGATGTTACGTGAACCAAGGATCAAGAGCTGAGGGCGGTCTTCTCCCGTGTTACAATTTTGGCTCATACGCGCGTTACAAAAGCGCGCTGCGTGCGAAATAGAAAGTCCGTCTGCGTTTCACTCGATTTCCACTCGAGTTATGATGGAGAGGAATATCGGGAGAACGAGCAGAGAGGAACGTCTCGATGACGGCTTCTGATCAATATGAGATATGTGATTAATTTAACGAAACCCGCACGCGCGCGCGCTCGCGTAAGTTTGCTTATAAGTCGCAAAAATATTAGCATCACTTAGAGAGAAAGAGAGAGAGAGAGAGAGAGAGAGAGAGAGAGAGAGAGAGAAAGAGAGAGAGAGGAGAGTAATTAACGATAATTCGAGGAGGATGTGCGATCGGACACATACCTACATATGTGGACAGTTCGTCACGCTTTCAGATCGAAGACTTTTTAGCGAGAGTGCATTACTTGATTCATTCGAGGGTCCTTTTCCTGCTGATTTCACCAGGAAAGCCGGTTCACTAGCAATGTAACAAATGTCGGACACGTCGCTCAGTAAAAGTCTATAATGCTGTCTTCTCGAATTTCAACTTCAAAAAAATATTTTAATTAAACTTAGGAATGTCCAGGAAATATATGTTCTCTAAAAGTGATGAAAAATGATATGAGACATCCTTAAATAAAATGCCTAATAGAATATTATATAAGTAACATGTTTATATTTGTCCAATTTTACGCAATGCTACACGACTTTTATAAATAATAACTTCGTATAAATATTATCTAATTTCTTTTACATGAAAATATTCTCGAGAAAAATCCAAATCCTCCTCAGCTCATGGATGAGCAATTCGCAATTCCCAGGTAGTAACCATACTCGTTTGCGAATGCGTCTAATAACCTTGGACTTTGAACAACGACTCGTCCCGTTAGGAGAGCCGTCATAAACTTAACGAATAACTGAGCACGATCTCTTGACGCGTTCGGATCTACCACGCTGCGCCGTATCTCTCGCTCGTAAAATTAATTCGACAGTAAGGTGTTTGCGACGGCTAATCGGTTCGACGATCATAATGAAGACTACTCAGGCTGCGTCTTGTCCTTGGTAGGTGTGAGTTAGCTGGACGATCTTATTGGTCGCCTGTTATCAATTCAAAATATAATAGTCGCTTGCATGATAAGCCGCTGATAAGAGAAACAATGTTGGGGGGCTTGCCGCTTTTCATACATTCTTTTAACTCAAGTTAAAAAATATGCTCGATAATCGTACGAATGTCGGTGCCATCGTGACAAATAAACTACATCGAGCAAATTTCTTCCAAGCCAATAAGTAGGTCGAGTACCACGGTTCATTTGTCTGCGATATACACGTGTATTCTATTCACCTAGGGGATTAATTAGTAATAAAGTTTTTCACAAAAAGTATCGCGGAAAAACAAAAACCAGCTGTTAAGGTGATCCTAGCCGGTTTTTTTTCAGTTTTTTTCTTAGCACTAATCTTTTAATTGGCTTTATAGAAATGCAAAATTCTTGTCTAGAATTAAAGTACGCATCAAAATCTAGGTCATGGTGGTCGAATTTATATGTGGTGGTCGTCACGTATAACCAAAAATATTAATTTTTTTTTCGTTTTCGATATAAATTCGACCACCATGACCTAGATTTTGATGCGTACTTTAATTCTAGACAAGAATTTTGCATTTCTATAAAGCCAATTAAAAGATTAGTGCTAAGAAAAAAACCGAAAAAAACCGGCTAGGATCACGGCTTTAGGATCACCTTAATCAATGACAATCATAATTTCAAAGTCAATGACAAATGCAATTTATGCGGAAACAATTACGCAGAACGTTTGTACTAGACGGACTTACGTAATGGATGATAAAAACTTGCGATATCAGAGGCAAAATTGCTCAGTAAATATGTATACGCTAGATGCGTACCTCGGGGGGCGACGAAAAGACCCAAAAGTTGTAGAATTGTGCCGCCCAGATAGCGCTTTCGTCGCCCCCCTGCGGTACGCAGCTAGCGTATAGAGTTTTGAACGAATTAAATCCGCGTAATTATAAAATTGTATACAACACTAAATTAATTCATCAAGTAGTAAATTAAATTTAAATTGCACAAAGCTTGACAGCTAGCTGCGGGTATAACTCATTTTTAAGTTTGAAGTTAAGTACAGGTATTACGGTTCTGTAAAAACCATTATGAAAAAATATATAATACGTCGAAACACGAATTATAAAATAAAATATATTTTTTTAAAGCGTTCATTGGTCGGACATTGAAAATTAACAATTTTTTGTTTTTTTTCACGCGCGAGATTCTATTGTATATCGCGTTACGACTATTGGGATCTATAAGCGATACGCCTTGTCTCCGTCGTTACGATAACATGAAAAAGTAAAGACAATTAGTGTCTCGACAGTGAGCACTGTGAAATACGCGTATGCAAAAACGCACACATGTAGACACGGGTCCAAGTTTATCGCGTTATGCGTCAGAGATCACTACGGAGTCGAGTATAGCGTTTCTGAAACGCGCAAAGAGTATTGGAACAATGATAACCTTAATCAAACCAGTCTATAGAGGTTCAATCTCGACGTTAATGCGAGTCACGTGCAGCGAGCCTCTATTTCCCTTCTCTCTATCTCTTTCTCTCGTT